GGAAGCCAATCACAAACAAAAAGCACACTTAAAGCGTCTGTTTTTGCTACCCGAACGTGCCAAAAGCACGGAAAAAGTGTGCTATTTCTCCCGTATTGGAGATTGAAGTTTGGACTTCCAATGGCACACTTTTTCTGTGCTATTAGCATACTTTTGCCGTGCTTTTCCGGGACAGTGCGGTGAACGTCATTTTTTGTCACCAAAAGAAAGGATTGCTCTTATTGGAAAAAAGTATTGAACAATCAAAAGTTTAAACGGGGACTCGCTGAAGAACATGGAGAAAAGATGCCGCTTGGTTACACTTTTAAGGTCAAGAGAGCATTGAGAGAAATGAGCTAAGATTGAATGACGGTAGAACTCATGCTTAATGATTAAAAGATTTACGGTTATATTATTTGTGTAGAAATATTGGCTAAGTGCAGATTATGAGTATTTAAAGAGCAATATGTTCTAACGGTGGTCCATAAATTATGAATCTCTTCGTATTTTGCTTATAATTTTTTTTCTTTTTAATCCTTAGATCTGTTTGCTGAAGATATTTTTGAGTACTTTGAAGTGTGCTCTTTCTCCTCACACAGTTCACAGCACTGAAAAATCTAACATTCCAAAACCTCACCTCAAAGTGACCGAAATCTGCTATTGTTCGACAAGTGAATTTATGAAATCTTTAAGGTAACTCTCGCCGCTGAAAAGCCTCAAAGAGGAGAAAATCGATGTAAGCCTCAAAGACTGATTTTGGATTTGTACACCGAATACTGGTTGATAGAGCTTTTCAAGGGCTACAAAATGCGTATATTCTCTTCTTTTTATCACCCAACTCAATAAAAGTGGTTGAACAAAACATTTTTTCAACTTAGAAAGTTGGTCCGCTTGATTATGTTTGTTTAATTTTTCTGCTTAACTTTCTATAGAAATAAGTTTGATCAGGTCTTGTAGAGAATTTGACAGCACATCTTTTGGAAAAACAAACAGATCTAAGGATTTAAAAGAAAAAAAGTTATAAGCAGAATACGAGGGGGTTTATTATTTATGGGCCACCCGTTAGTTCGTTTACTCATATGAGACAAATCCATTTTTGTGCCTTTATTCATGTAGTTAATCAATCTCTTGAATAACCACAATTTAGCGTTCTCTTTGCTTGTGAAGTATTGAAATAAGGGCGGAAAAGCAGACTTAAATCCAGTTATGAACTTTCAAGGTCCGTCAAAATCCACGTAAGTCCAGGGATATACGAAGACTTTTATGGATCTATCAGAATTTACGTAGACTTCTAACGATTACATCGATTTAGATAGATTTTTCTAACCTTTACAGACTATATTAGACTTGAAAAGGTCTGTTGTACTTTTGTAGGCTTTCAAAATCCATCTAAGTTCACATTAGTCCATTAAAATCCATAAAAGTCCAGTAGTTTACAGGCTGCTTTTCCCCCCATGTATTGAAGTTGGATATTGTGTATTCAAATAACGAATTCCTTTTTGTTATTATATGGTTTGTTTGCAGAAGCTACAGTTACACGGCTGTTGGCACATTCGCTATTAAGCTAACATTGAAATGTTTTTATTTATATAATTATTAATACAATTTTGATTTTTGTTTCCTTTTAGTCTTTTTTTTTAACATCGTTTATCGGTATGAAAATATAATTTGACCGCTTCAACTTTTCTCCACTGAAAGGAGATGAGCCATTTTGTGATGAAATCGGCCCGCTGTTATTGCCACTTTACTCTCCCAGCGGAAATGTGTGCTTTTCGTCATTTTCCAGCGGTTTTGGCCTAACTTGTCAAACATTTCTTAACATAGAATCTTGCGGTTAGTTGTATATAAAAGAGCGCATCAAAATCTATACAGTTCGATGAGGAAGAATTATGCGGCACCTCTTGGTCTTGGGAAAACGATTTCTGACAAACCGGGCTGCCTTACTATATCATCCAGAAATCTTTTAACCATCCCATTACATAGGTCGTTCAGTTCTTACAAAATGAGATGGATAGCCAAGTTTATACGATACTGGACGACCGAGTTACAGGCTTTGTAACATTACTGGCATAAATTCATTAGAATATTTTACTTTTATGTTGAATTTTCGATCCGCATCGTGTTTTTTGTGGCATTTTTGATAAAACATGGTAGAAACTTGGCTATCACATCTCATTCAACGACATAGTAAATACGATTTCCACTAAGTTTCGAGCCGAGAAAATATTCAAATGATAAAAATTCTCCTGAGAAGTAGTTCTAAGGTTTCGAAGATGCCCAATCGATTCCCCTACTCACATTCTACATACCCTATGAATAAAACTAAATTTGGTTAACCGGCTGATTTCATCACAAAACGTCCCTCCCTCTCCTTTCCCACCATATACATCGAGTAAGAATAGATGTCCAAATATATTGAACGAATATAATAGCAATCGATATCATCACTAGATACCTTGAAAGACATGATATAGTAGGTTTCACACTACCGCGTTTATAATGAGCGTTTTTTTCAACGTTTCTTCCTTAATCCAAGTAACACCAAGAACAGCAACAAAATGTTTTCTTTTTCTAACGAGAGTTTAATTGAGTCAGATGCGCCTTGAAAAGGAGCTTTTGATTTATCTATGTCTGATAAGTCTACGTCTCGGATTATTTTAATTGAAATAGATCTCGCTGTCAAAAGACGTGACGAGACAAAAAGCGTGACAGGACATTTGAACAGCATTTTGCATTTTTCCTCTAAACACAAAAGAGTTAAAATTTAAAAATTTGGGTATTTGTTTTACATCCCAACCTCTATTTTTCGGAGCTTTTTGGTTTTTCCAGAAAAAATGGGACTGAAGATGTTCAACGGGTTCGGAACCGGGATCGAAAACCAGCGGCCTCGCCCATGTTTACTATTTATGTCTATATCATGACGTATATACGTCAAGGTGTTCAGCGGGTAAATCGGCTGATCGATTTTATGTTTCCAACACCCGTCAGAAGCAGGATTTCCGATTGTTCTTAGGGATGGGAGGGGCTAAAAATTTTGCTTTTGCAGAAAGTGGCTAGCGAAAAAAGTTTTCGAAATTTTTGATAGAAAGTTGCTGGTAGAAAAACGTCAAAAATTTTGCCAGAAAATACAAAAAAGTTTTCAGGAGGGGCTGAACTCCCCTGATCAGGAATCCTGGTCAAAAGGCAAAACACACTTGCACACTTTGATTTTTTTGTGCAAAGTGTAATTAGCGCCAACAAAGTGTATGCACACTTTGTTATTAAAAACACACAGAATAGAACTACAAACTCTCTAGACTCTTCTTTTATGCAGTTTTGTTTTGCGACTTCTTCGAGTATTGTTTGCCTAAAAACTAGTCACAGCTATGAAGACTATTCCCTGCAAAAATCGTTCAATTTGATTAGAGACTATACGAGATATAGGCGTGGCCATATTTTACACGGAAACAGTACAAATCTTAGATTTGCTTAGATTTGTATCACTGATCAAACATTAGATTCCTATTGGTTCCAGTTAACCATTATAGCCAGTCCCTAGCCCTTCTCCACGCTATCGTTTCATCGATTACTTGCAAGTTGATTACTTTAATTAAAAACCTAATAAATTTTTTAATAACAGTTTTAAATAGCTGTTTGTGTTGTCGTTGAGAAGGAAGCTAAAATTATATATAAAATGGATCGTCGTTGAGATTTTTTCAGCAGTATTCATTTTACCATTTTAAATGGCTGGTGTTGGAAGAAAAAAATGGATCTCTGTTTTTCTAGTTCACTGCAAAAAAAAGGTTCAGAGTGCTAAGTCTCAAAAATATATGCTTTTAGACGTTGTTGGATTTTGATTGATAAAATAAACTGGCATTCTTCTTGTTTACTCTAAGTCAGTGCTGTAATTTTTCAGGACAAAGATTTCTGTTATTAATCCGAGTTTACCTGATCACTTTTGCAGAACTTAATCACCACAATTAGCTACCATGCCGCAAAAATAAAATAAAATAACGAAGTTATTAGCTGAAATTTTCTATACAGAACTCTTTGAATTTTTGCGATATGATAACTAACTTTAACTTCTGTAAAAGTGATTAATAAATTCATTCAATTTAGAAATCCGAATACAATAGTTGTGCACAGAAATGTATTTTTTGTTCTGGCTAGTAAGATTTCTTTAATCGAATCTTTATCCTTAGTTCTTTAGTCTCAGTCCTTATTTATGGCCGTTGTCTTTGTTTTCTAGATTATATTGATAAAGGAAGAAGTCGGTTTCAGAAATGTTGATGCCCAAAAAACACCGCACATTAATCTATGAATATTTAATGAGAGAAGGTGTTATTGTTGCTGAAAAAGAATTCGGTTTAGATAAACATCCAGCTATAGCTGTACCAAATATTCATGTCATCAAATCACTCCAAGTATGTGACAGTGAATATACAATAAATCGAATAGTCTTGTTGGTAATTTACCATTTTCTTTCATTCTAGTCATTAAAATCTCGTAATTTGGTTAAGGAACAGTTTGCATGGCGTCACTATTATTGGTATTTGACAAATGAAGGCACAAATTATTTACGAGAATATCTTAATTTACCACCAGAAATTGTACCAGCTACATTGAAACGACCAACAAGACCAGATACTAAACAGGCTAAAAGAGGTTACATTTCGATCTTTTTATATACATTCTTTCTACGCTATATTGCGCAGCGTAACATAAAGAATTGAGATTTCTTTACTCTTCGCTGTTCAGATACTTCGACTGCTTTACTTGTTATTTGATCAATTTTCTAATTTTTTTCACTATTCCTAAGATACAGAAGAGCTTCTACGCAGATGATAGAATAGCGCACGACGGTTCTAACGTTTATCTCTTATGCATTCCCAATCTTCGCGGTAGCATATTTACGTTCTGGATACTATTATTATTGATATTCTTTTTCTGTCAACATAGAACGACCACGGATGAATGCAGTAAATACTCTATAGTCGAGTTTCCTTTTTCCATATAGTTTTTTTTTGTATATTATATTATAAATATGAGCTCAGTTCTACATTTTGACGTTTCAGCTTGTAGTGTACTTCACACACGTTCCTAGGATCTAAGTACCTAGTATTGTTCTGTGCAAAATAACTGAAGTTAGTACGTCGAATGTTGCTGTTATATAAATTGTATCGATATTTTATTAATCATTTTTTTTCGCAGTCTTCGTTCGAGAAACAAAATTTTCAGTTTAAGAACAGATTTTTCTGCTGCATTTCTATCAGAGATCGTCCCGGACCACGTTTTTACGGCCCAGCCCGTGTACAGGCGTAAGAATCTTGGTCCGGTCCGGCCCGGAGTGAACGCATACATTTTTCGGAGCGCCCCTTACGGGCCGGGCTAAATGCATTCTACATTCTGCGCCCCGCGGGATAGCCCGTAGAATTTTCACATTTTATTTTCAAGAGAAGATAGTGTCTTTTCTCACATTTAATATGAGTGTTGCCTTTCGATGTTATCTTGTAATTTTCTCGACATTTTGGGAAAAAGGCTGAGTTCGCATGCGAGCCATCAAATTGCAGCCCTGTCCGGTCCGACCCGTAAATAAGATTCAAAAACGCAGGCCCGGTCCGTGACGATCTCTGATTTCTATGATAAATTTTTGACATCTAGCATCTGCTCTAATTTTAACAAGTCAGTTCCCGTTAGTTTTTTCTTAATCAATATGTTCAGTTATGTTATAGTTTTTCTTATTTTTCTAGTCGATCCAACTCGTTCTCAATCCCCGCAAGGTGATCAAGGTCGTCAAGAATACCGTCGTGCTGACAGAGGTGGATATGATAAACAAGGCGAAGTTGGTGCAGGATCATCTCGGCCAGAATATGTAAGCATTTCAAATAAACAATCATTCATACTAGAAAGTATTAACGTTTTTCTTATTTAGCGTGGTGGATTCGGACGTTCAAGACCAAGAAACGATGATAACGATCGAAATCGTAATGCTGATCAACAATAAAGAAGAAAAAAGCATTTTTAATTGTTTTTTCTTGTTTTTGGTTTTTAACAGATGACAAGAAATAATTTATATTGTTAATAAATCAAAAGATACAAAAACTTGAAAACTGATTTTTCCGATGAAGTAAATTAACAGCTATCATGTTTTTATTGTATCTTTTATAACAACAGTCATTTATCACTTCACTAAACGATCAAATTTTTTTGAGTTTTCACTTGGGGCAATGCTATTGAAACACAAATTACGTTCAAATAATCTGAGAGTTTTGGGATGTATCTTGAACAAAAAAGTGTAAAAATTATCTGAATATTTATCTACAGTAATATATTCTTATTGTACACTTCTTCAAGATAGACTAATGCTAATTTTATATTTATCTTCTGATTTCCTTTTTTTGTAGATATAATGGTATCGAAATTAAAACCACTAAATAAAGGACGAATATTAAAAAAACGAACAAAAAAATTTGTTCGTCATCAAAGTGATCGTTATATTCGCCTACGTGTATGTATTATGTTTTAATTTTCTCGCTTGTTTTAATCATTCTTGATTTGTTTCTTTTACTCTTTCAGCCAAACTGGCGTAAACCACGTGGTATTGACAATCGTGTTCGACGACGATTCAAAGGTGTTTATTTAATGCCAAGTATTGGTTATGGTTCTGACAAACGTACAAGACATATGAGACCAGACGGATTTAGACCCTTTCTTGTTCATAATGTTAAAGTAAGTTCTATACAAAGAAAGATTAAAGTAAAGGATTTCCTTACACTGTAAAAACTAGACTTGCAAAAATGATAAGCTATTCAAAAATAGAAGTTTTGTTTGCACAACATTATGATCTTATCTTTATTGCTTAAAATGAATGGGTTGTTTCTTCAACATTGTTTGAATTTGCTATACCATAATAATTACCGATTGAAAAATTAAAAAGATTTTAAAATGAATTCAGTATTCATTTTAAACTTATTATTTCTTATGTTGCTCTCTAATATAATTAATGATATAGACTCAAAACTTGACATTATAACTGATATTTTTCTCTTTTGACTTTAGGAATTGGAAATGTTATTAATGCAAAATAGAAAGTTTGCAGCTGAAATTGGGCATACAGTGTCAGGACCAAACCGTAAAAAAATCGTTGAACGTGCACAACAATTAGCAATTAAAGTAACAAATCCAAATGCACGTTTAAGAGCCGAAGAAAAAGAATAAAGAAGTATAATGGATGGATTAACAACATGAAAGAAGAAAATTTTTTTGTTATTTACGTTTTTTTACCGTATCATTTGCAGTTCTTGTATCATTGCATCTGATTATACACATAATAAACAACAAAAAATAAAATGAGAACGGAAAATTCAAAATTTTCAATAAATAAAATAGAAGAGCCAACATTTTTATAAACATGCCGTAGTAGTAAATAGGGTAGAGATTAAAGAAAGTTTATTGATATCTTTTCATTCTCATTTGTTTCATTCATAACAATCGCTAGTAGAGTTTGACTATCGTCTAATAGGCTGAAGAAAGTCCTTGCCCTTGAAGTGATATGAGACTTTGTGATTACGAAAGCTTCTTTTTATTTAAAAAAAATCTTGCTCAATGAACGCTGTATCTTTAGTGATAATCTATTTGTAAAAGATTTTTTAGATTGATTAGCAGAACGTAAATGTAGATAAATATGTTAACAGTTTAAGAAAAAGAAAAGTAAAAAAGGTGAATTATATACAATAAACAGACTTGATCATTTATCCAGTTAAAGTACATCCAAAGTGAGTCAATGATCCTTTATTTAATGGTTGAATTTTTTATAAGACATAAGCGCTACAATCAGTGTGAAAAATTAAAAACTACGTTGATTATAGTACAAACGTCTAATTTTTTCTAATTATCGTAACTCGATCACATTTAAATAGATAAATTCGTTGTTTTATTTACAATTTATTATGTTTCTTTGCTTATTTGGTCAGAGGTTCAAATAAATTGTACACGATTATCGCGAAAGACTCTTGACAAATTCATAGATTAAGGCAGCTGGTTATTTAAAGAAAAAAACATTCTTTCATGCTAAAAAAAAGTTAGATCAGAGAGGTCAGAGATCACAAACTAAAAATTCAGGAATACTGTCTGATTGTTTTCACTAAAATTTTCAGAACAGGCAATTCTTACGTCAGCTATTAATTGTCTCCAGTATGAAAAGACTTAACGTTGTACAGAGTGAAGAAAAAAATATGCACTAAACGTACTTCTTTTCTTTCAGACTTTTTCCGATAATGAATCGTTCATTATTATTAGTATTATCATTAAATTGTAAATCGTTAAATTATCTTCAAGTTCGTAATAAAACACATACATGGCTCGCTTATAAAGAACATAAAACATTCGTTCCACAATTAAACTATGATAAATATGGTCAATCGAAAGGTTCACCTCATGTTCAAGAACGATTTTTTCGATTGGGATGGGGCGGTTATATTCATCCACAATGGGAACGACGTCTATGGACATATAAAAAACCAGATGAACAAAATAAACTTGAAGATCAACATGTTATGGTGGCTAATAGACGATCGAAAATTTTAGATAAAATGTGTGATGATAAATATCGAAAACGTTTATATTTAGTTGATCAAAAATATAAAATATATGATAGTTATCAACGAAGATGGGGAATGAACCATATTTATGATCATGAGAGAGACTCGAAGTCTTATCCTTGAAATGTAATTGTTTACGAGTTTTTTGTATATTAGACTGATTTTTTCTAGTAAAGATAAACTTCTTTTTTTCAAACGCGCTGATCTTCTCATTCAACTTTACTGCATTGCGTATTTGTTGTTGTGACAAACAGTAACTTCATTAAAAAAAAGTGAGAAAAGTTTTCATGTATATCGTTTGCTTATTTCTCTCTATCAAATTCTCGCGATACTTCGAATTGCATACGACAGACAATAGGAAAATTAACTTAACAAAAATAAATTTATACTGTTCCAGTAACATGATTTAATGAAGTGCATAATCAATACTTCATCAAGTGTCCAGAACGAAATTGTCGATTGTATCCGTCATTCGAAAGAAGATAATTTCTTTAGAAGAAGAAAAGATTACTTCCACGAACCTGTTTTGGCCATTCAATTATTCTTGAGAGTCATTTTCTGAAGGCATGTCTGAAGATACATCTCATCTCAATATGGTTTCTTTCCAGTCCAATTGGTAATAAACGAAATTGAAATGAGATGTGTATGTGACCTAAGTTACATCATATTTTTGGTTTTTCTACTATATCGATCGGCCATCCTTGAAAAATGTCAAAAAATGCTTCTTAATATGGATTGAAAATATAAGCGTGTATGAGTAGGTGAATTGAAAGAAATGACAAGACAGCAGTTTGCGAACAGTCTTATGAGGGACTTGATAAATCGCTTTTTGATCGAAATTTAGTGGGTTATACGTTATCGACCATATTGGTTCCGAATATGACCATGAGAGTTCCCTCGCCATAGCCGTTCGAAGATCCGTTTTTCTGGAAAATCAGTCTTTCAGAAGCTCTAAAAAATAACCAAAACCTTTCTTAATTAGGCATGATTGTAGCCCACAAATTTCTGATTAAAATGAGACATCTTCCAGCTCTACACGACCTTTCTTTGCAAAGTTATAAAATTTGCAACAGAAGCCCTAAATTAATTTCGTCTTATTTTTGAAGCTTTCAACTGGCGATGAACATTTAGGGCTTTTGTTGTAAATTATATAACTTTGCAAAGAAAGGTCGTGTAGAGCTGGGAGATATCTCATTTTAATCAGAAATTTGCGGGCTACAATTATGCCTCATTAAGAAAAGTTTTGGTTATTTTTAGAGCTTTTGAAAGACTGGTTTTCTAGAAAACTCATAGTCCTTGAAGGGCTATGGAGAAACCCCATGGTCATATTCGGAATCAGCATGATCGATAACCTATAATCCACTAGATTTCGATCAAAAAGCGATTTATTAGTTGAGGATTTTCCCTCGTTAATGATGAATGAATGACTAAATGAAATTTTCTTTATTAATAAAGGTAAACTATTTTACACATCATGCTAGAACTTTATTTGATATTTCCGTTTTCTACAACAAATGTTTTACAAATGAAAGGAGCAGAAGGCATGATTCTCCTTTTCTTTTGTATCTGTTATTGAACCAAGTCAGGGATTTAAGATCTTTTTCAAGATAAAATATATATGTCTTTTCTTTTGCGTGCATCTTTTGTTTTATTATTTAGATTCTAATACGTCTAGGCAAAATTGTTATTCTAATGGTATTTTGAGATAAAACAACGAAACGTTCCTTAACACCGTCGACAATATGTTCAATGTTTCAGAAAAAAATTCGAACAAATTTTTGAATATGCTCAATTAGAACTTTTGTGAAACACATTTAAAAGACGTAATGATGAATGTATCCTATTTTCTTATAATGTATTTTATTTTGTGTGATTAGCCAGATGCACAAGAAGACTTAGTCAATCAAACTTGTCTAACGGAAATAAATTACAAGTCAGTATATTTACTCTATTAAGTACTTACAAAGTAAAACTGCTTCTTTTATTAATGTTCAAGGTATGATTTTAAAACTGTCATAGCACTATTGCCAAATAAACGTCCACATTCTTTACTGCATTCAATCTTATTACACTCATCTTTCGTGTCAATAGTCATTACCGGAACTATGACAAATACAACTCTAACAAGACAACTTGATATTCATTTCAACAATACTTGCTAGTACCATTGCACAACATCTTTCAATGCTAATATCACCTTTATCATCGTTTTTACTTTTTTTCATAGAGAAATTCAAGATCTTTTATGTACGAAAATTGAAGTGCCTGTTGAATCATAGTTAAAGAGAAGATAGTTCTTATCTGAAGTAAATTTTTAATGAATGAATATCTCATCTCTATTTATGCTGTATGGTCATTGTTGATGCTACATTCTATGTTTTCTATTCTTCCCACAGAAGATAATTCCTTTCATAGATATTTTTTCAAAACAACAAAAAACATTATATCATTGTGATTGAAGCCAGAATTTGAATTAGACTCTCTGGAATGACGATGAACTTTTATTTTTCATATGTCTGTCGACATAAAGTTCTGTGCTCTTTATATCTTAGTCAAATTTGAATTTGTCTCGCGAGGGGACTGATTTAACTGTCAAATCGTTTTTTTTAATGAGACCTAGTGGATTATAGGTTATCGACTATGCTGATTCCGAATATGACCATGGGATTTGCCTATAGGTCTTCAGAGATCCGTTTTTTTAGAAAATCAGTTTTTCAGAAACTCTAAAAAATAACTAAAACCTTTCTTAATGAGGCATAATTGTAGCCCGCACATTCCTGATTAAAATGAGACATCTCCTAGCTCTACACGATCTTTCTTTGCAAAGTTATAAAATTTATAACATCAGTCCTAAATTAATTTTTTCCCTCTTATTTTTGTAGCTTTGAGCTGACGATGAACATTTAGGACTTTATTATAATCTATAATCCACTAGGTCTCATTAAAAAACGATTTGATAGTTAAATCGGTTCCCTCATCAGTAAATAATTTTATTTCAACATTTGATTCTTATCTTTGATTGAGTACATATTCTAAATACTTTTAGATTAGTTTTATTTATAATATCACATCTAAAGAGATACAGAATAATGCTTGTGAGTAGCTCTGTAATAGTCATATTATTTCTATATTTTGTTAAAATTTCATTTTAGGCAGAAACAACTGATACTAACAAAGTAAGCAAGATTATTGTTATTTAGATTTTTGAAGTAATTTGTAATTTATTCGTCTATATTCTCTATTTGTAGCAACGTGGTGAATCAGTTGATCTAAATGAAAATGATTCCCTTCTTATTGATATATCCGATGCATTATCAGAAAAAGATAAAGTCAAATTTACTGTTCATACGAAAGTAAGTCATTCATTTAGTTGTGTTAATATATACTAAACTTAACCGAAATGTTATTAAAATCTTCAGAAAGAGACATTTTCTAGAGTGTAGATATTCACAAGACTTTTCTGTTCAATTTAAGACGTTTCATGAGTCTCTGTGCGATTCGGTTTGATATATATCGACACAAAAACATCACGGACTTTTTCTGCAGTAACAGAGTTAGCTGGCCACGCCCTATAGTGACTAGTATCAAGACAATCGATTTTAAGAAAGTATAATTAGACTGAGAAACTTGAGTAGCCATTTAGTAAATTAATTTTTCAAATTATTTTCGACAAGTAATTGACATGTTTCATATAGACGATTCTCTATTACTTATCTTTTTTGTGGATAAAAACATCAATTACTATGTATTGCCGCTAAAGATTCTAGAACATTTCTAACCTACGATGCAAAAGTAACCGAACAAATGTCTCTCCATTTTTCTTGTGGTAAAGCACGTTCCGAAAATATCAAAAATAGTTATTTTGGAGCTTTCTAATTATATATTAAGAAATATTTTATCGCTTTTAGTCTTCGCGCAGTGATCGAATCTTTGCTATCATCAAAAATTTAGGCTGTAACGATAAAAAATTTTGGATATTTTTTTCATTTTAGCAATAACTACTTCAAACTGAAAGATTAAACTTTGGTTTACTTACTACTTTATAAAGCAGAATTTTCTCTGCCAACTAGACGATCTTAGATTATTTTTACATCGCAAAAAATCGTCAAACTTTTAATTTTACTAAAAACCTGTTTTGTGAAAAATTGTGTTTGTCCTAATACTCATACTCATACTGGTACTCGGGACTTTTTTTAACGAATATTCCAAAAAAAATACTCGAGTACTTCCCAAAAACTGGTGACCCTTTTTTTTTACTATTTGCGTATAAAAAAATCGATTTATTCGGAAATTTTTACGCATTCACCGGCGTCTTCAGAAAAAAAAAATACTTGAGTACTACTCGAATACTTTTCAGAAAAACAATCGTACTTCTTCTTGTACTCGATCTTCAGTATGTGTACTCGTACTCAGAAATCCGTGTGCTCGCTTAATTAATCTCTGGGTGCATGACGGGGTGGAAGGGGTCACACACTTTTCTGCGCTGGAAAAAAATAATTTTCGTCTGGTCGGGGGAACATTTTTTATTGCGTTCTGTTGCAGAAAGCAAGGGCAAAAAAAGTTTATCCACAAGAGACCTTCCTTGCTTTTTGATTTTACCAAACTCGTGACTTACATTTGTCGAAAAATATCAGATTTTCATTTTTTCCAAAATTAGTTTTTAGGGCATAGTAAAGATTCGTTTATTCTGAGAAGACTAAAAGCGATAGAAAATTTTTGAACACAGTTCGAAAGCTCTTTAAATGTCGATTCTCAACAGATATTTTTCATTTTTTCCAAAATATATTTTATCACAAGAAAAATGGTGAGACATTTTGTCCCATTACTTTTGTATCGTAGGTTAAGTTCTGTTGTTTAATGTAACTTTGAAAGAAAGTTTAACAATATTGTCTTTCACTGTTTTTGTTTTTACACATTTTAATTTTGAAGTATATTTTAATTCAAATAATTGAAATATTTAATAATTTGTATAATTTTCTATTTATTCTGTAAATCTATTTCTTATTTTCATTCTGACCATTGTTATTTCTCGCGTTTTAGACAAAATTAGCTGTGTTTAGTGAACGTGAATTTACCGTGTCTAGACAACACGAAGAATTTATATGGTTACATGATCGTTATGTTGAAAATGAAGACTATGCAGGTCTCATTGTATGTAAAAAGTTTATCATCTACAAATGAAATATGTTAAAATGATTTTGATTATTTAGATTCCACCTCCACCACCACGACCAGATTTTGATTCATCACGAGGAAAATTACAAAAATTAAGTGATAGTGAAGGTAGTATAACGGCAGAAGAATATGAAAAGATGAAACAAGAATTAGAAGCGTAAGTTTTTTTTGTGTTTTTTTGTTGTTGATTCGTTTTTATTCTTACTTTATGATTTTTATTATTTCAAGTGAATATTTGGCAATGTTTAAGAAAACTGTTAGTGTTCACGAAGTATTTTTACAACGTTTAGCTGCACATCACGTGTTACGGAGTGATAATCATTTTCGTGTATTTTTAGAATATAAAGAAGATGTAAGTGAGTGTTATTAGTGTCTTAAAAATTTCAACAATTTTTTAAATTCATTTTTAGTTGAGCGTACGTGGAAAAAATGCCAAAGAACAATTAAGTGGATTTTTTAAAACATTAACGAAAACAGCTGATGAGGTCTTTTTGGTCAACCAGAAAGTATGACATGAAATAGCTAAAACTTTAAAAATCAAATTTAATCTGTCTATCGACTTTTTTGTTTTAAGGACCAAGATGAATTTTTTGAACGTCAAAAACAATTTTTAATTAATTATAATGCAAAAATAAAAGATGCTACGAATCAGGCTGATCGATACACTCGATGTCATAAAAGTAATTGTTAACAAATAACAACATAATATACATGAGACACTCTGGTGATTTTTGTACCGTTTAACCTAATGCATGACCTAGCTTGATTTTTTGCTCAGGCTGAATGAAACTGCTTGACACTAGTGCCATTTTGTAGAGGACACTTCAGTCTATACATGACATTAAGATTTTTGTTTTATCTTTCACCGGTGGGACGTTGTGAGCAAAACACTTTCTGTTTTTTTCTTTTTCTCGCTTGTTTTCCCAGTGGTTCTCGCATGTTCTACTTTATAAGTCAAACTTTTTAACCTCGTTGAACGATAAAATTACTCATTTTGTCTCGATTTATGTAGTATTTTCTCTACTCTATCGAGCTACGGTCTCGGCTTTGGGTGATATACTTCCGTTTTCACAGGAACGGTGCTACAAAACGTGGTCCTCAAAAAGTCAAAATCCGTTGTCTCGCCCATTTTTGGTAAATTGCGCAAAAAGTAAGTCTTATACCTGTTATTTTTTCACATTATTTTCTGCAAATTTAACGCCAAAATCGACTAACAAAAACCGCAAGTCGCTAGCTCTTTTCATCTTCTCACAAAATGCGGTATACTATTACCTAGTAGTATTTGATACTCAATTTGCTCCATCCACATGCTCCTTCTTCCGGCCAAAGTATACGTAGTTAAGGCGAGATTTTTTCACCATATGTGTAATATCTCAGTCAAAGATTGTGCTAAAAGAATCTTGACTTGAGGTCAGTTCTGAAGTGGAATATTTGAAGAATACGCCGAAATGTCCCACGTTATAGTAAAAACCGTAAAACATAGCTCAAACGGCGTAAAACTTCCACGATAGAGGCTCGTTCGAAAACCTATATCTGATTGCATTTGTGACCTTAGTTATCGATTACTGGCAGGAGAACGAGAAAAGATTTTCTCATCAGATCCGATTCCAAACCTGTCTAGCAACTACAAGGACTTGGTAGTTTGCAAACATAGATTTTCTTAGGCAAAAACGATACAAAAAACACCAGAACTTGTCACATATCTATTAGTTTCATTTTTTTTTTGTTCTTTCTAAGATGTTGCCGATCAGTATATAAAAATTTCAGCAGGTTGGAATGCATTAGCTACAACAGACAAAGGCGATTTATCAAAGTAAGAATCTTCATTTTTTTCTTCTTCTTTATATATCTTTGACATCTTATTTTTTTCTCTTCGTCTTATAGATATTTACTTATATTAGCTGATTTATTTGAAAAAGCTCGAGTATGTTCTCATTCGTTATTTTTTTAATTGTCTGATATTGTTTATTACCTCTTTGCGTATGTTAATTATAGAAATTAGAATCTCGTGTTCAATCGGACACTGATTTAAAATTATCTGATACGTTACGTTATTATTTGAGAGATAGTAAAGCAGCATTAGACTTGATGTATCGACGTTCACGTTGTTTAGCCAATTTTGATACAGCAAATAAAAATTTAGATAAAGCACGACAAAAAAATAAAGATGTACAACAAGTGAGTATCGATGAGAGACATATATATACACTAGTTTAATATTATATACGATATTGATTTTATTTAGGCTGAAACAACCCAACAAACAATAAAAACAAAATTTGAAAATTTATCAGAAAAAGCAAAAGATGGTAGGAAAGCAAAATATTCTCGTTTTATTAGAAGAAACATCAAGAAGTTTTAGAATTCATTTTTCGCTGCTGAATTTTTTAATAATAGCCCCGTGCTAAAACATTTAACGGTATTATTTTAAGTAATTCATTTTTTTCTCAGCCAAATAATGTCAGTAAGCCGAAAAAACTTGAGGACGTATATTTCAAAGTACCCTCTACAAACTGGGTAGGCTTGAAGAAAAATTCAAAACTTGAAAATATCGCTGGTTTTTGGCTCAGCGAAAATTTTTTCACCTCACCTTTCGGCTAGTTTCGTTCGAAGCAAGCATTTTGAAGCAAAACAAATTTCGTATTTTTCAATTTAAAAACCAAAAAAGGACAATTTTAAAAAAGCTCTCGTAAGGGACTGCAGAATTCGATTCTGAACAACTTTTGTACTCAGAGTTTTGCTTCAAAATGCTTGCTTCGAATGAAATAAGCCGTAGGGTGCGATGAAAAATACTTTTAGCTCTAAAACTTTCTCGGTAAGGTGAACCCTAAATTTCTGCGTCAAACTTCATTCGGGAACGATGAAAAGTGTTTCTCCTTATACAAGTTGATGTTCTCTATTGAAATATGCTAATAGAGGACATCAACATCTTCAAATATGCTAGAATCAACTCTTCATATCAAAAACTGACGTTTTTATTGAAATTTTAAAAATAGGCCAGAAAACCGAAAAAAAAACTTCAAAATTTTTCTTATCAAAAACCACATATCCGGGAACCGAGAGTTTTGTTGAGACATATACTTCGAAGTGTCCTCTACAAACTGGTGGACAAAACCGGTTGGGAGATCCCTCCGGTTGGGAGTAAAATATTATTATTATCAACAACATATTATTTTGTACGTTCAATCGAAAATAATAAATGAAAACACTAATCTTGTGAACAAGATTTCTCTTGTTAATTCATGTTTTAAGAGTTCTTCTACTCATTTAAATCACATGTTCTACCTAAGTGTGCTAACTCGAGACAGTCGATTTTGAAAACAAAGAAAAAGGACGCTTCAATTTTCATTGAATTGAGTCAAATATGGATTTCGATTTTCAAAATATTGTTCCGAATTGAATTCACTTTTCTTGATTCGTTTCTAGCTCTGAAGTCAAGTTAGTTTAATACTTCGATTACTCCCATATAAAAAATCCTCGTAGAATTCTGGCATCGTTTGAATATTTTACACTTTTGAGATTAAAGTTTAGATGGATGTGATAATTGAGAAAAAAAATGAATGTAAGAAACTGTGAACGCATGTTTTTGATGATATTTTGTTTTTTCATCGTGAAATCAAGGTTATTTTCTATTCAAACGGATCTAGTTTTGTAGAGAATTGAGCACTGAATCTTTCTGTAAAAGAGAAGAACGATGTTTTCAATAGAATTTGACTTTTGGATTGATTTTGAGCTTGTTGGTTTGAACTAAAAAACATTGATAAAAAAATATTATTTTTTGGTCTGAGTAAAGTCAAATCAGACGTTGGAAAAAAAATGAAAGTAAGAGAACAGAAAATTCTCTACGTTGGAAAAAATATTTGATAGAAGTGCGTTATTTAATCTAGTCTACTCGTTAGATGAAAAATGGATAGATGAACATTTTGATACAGTTTTGAGGTAGTTCGATGTGGCAAGAGATGAACTCATACTCAACATCTATGTTCGAAAAAGTTTTAAACTTGAGTAATGTTTATAGTTCTCCTGAACTCTATAGCCCAAATGACACAACTCTTTTATCAATATCTGATCCTGTATGTATGTACACTCTTAGCAAAATGATTTTCTGAAACTCCTCATATATCCCCACAAGAAAGAAGAGTTGAAGTTTATACTTGAAAGCTCTTGATTTTGGCCATTTTTTAACCTCTCCCTGGTGGTCATATCGTCTTAAACTATTCAACAACTTTTTGAGAAGTTTCACCGTTTTAGCCCCATAATGGGCTGCCCTGACAAGGTTGTTACGGTGAATTCAACCATCTCTTCTCAGAATGTTCTTTAAAAAGCGTACAGTTATAAGTGAGATTGTTTAATAATCCATATAATAATCGTTATTTTTCTTCTTTTTAGAATTGAATGACTTTAAAACACGTCGTGTACAAATGTTTAGAAAAAATTTAATTGAATTAAGTGACTTACAAATTAAACATGCAAAAGTAAAAATGAATTTAAATATTTTTGTTATAATATTAACTAGAGATAATTAGGGATGTTTGGTTCTCGGTCAGGATTTCCCATTGTTCTCAAGAATGGAAGGCGCTAAAAAATTTTCTTAGCAGAAAGTGGCTGGCGAAAAAACGTTTCTAAATTCTTGGCAGAAAGTTGCTTGTGGAAAAACGTCAAAGATTTTGTCGGAAAGTCCAAAAATGCTTTTAGGGAGGGGCCAGCCCCCACCTCCGTGATTAGAAAGCCTGTTCTCGGTTCTCGTGAAGAACCGGAACCGGACCCACGATTCTCTTATTTTCGATTCTTCATCAGGAATCGGAATCGTGGTCCCGGTTTTCACAATGGAACCGGAATCATGGTTTCTTAGGCGGTTTCTCTTTTTCGACACCGAGACTTTTTGACTTGTCTTTCTTTTCACAAAATGAAAACACACTCTTGACAAAGCAATTTAACAAGACAATTTAAAAGAAGCCTTTCGTTTACTACAAAATGAATTCTGTTTCGTTGAATTGTTACTGTCTGAAAAATTACTTTCCGATTTTAAGCTGAGAACCGAAAACCGCGGTTCTTTTCGTTTTGGTTCTAACTTGAGAACCGTAACCGCGGTTTCGATTTCAGAACTGAGAACCGAACATCTCTAGAGATAATAGCAGAACTTTTCATAATAATATTTGTAAATTTATACAACACCAATAACTGAATTTATTGAATTGATGTATTGTTTCAACTTTCGACTCTACTAATTTATCATCAGAAACTATGTACAATCCATAGCTAAGAAATAGTAATAAATTGAAAATTGTCCACATGAGTATTTTTATTGATACATTTTTTTATATTTCTCTAGTGAAAAGTTGAAAGTAAAAGAATGATGAAGTGGTTCACATTTCATATCTTTGTATTTCGTTTTCCTTCTTTGTGTAATCAAAAATTGAAAGTAAAACAATGTGAAATAGTTCACATTATGGTCTGGTCACTTCATTTTTTTTTCCTTATCTTTATATGTCAATGTATCAATTCCTGATTTCTATAATACTTCCTCCTGTTGATAATTTTCAGTTTATTAATATTTCTTAACTTTTTGTTCTATATAGTTTCTGATGATGAATTCGTAGATTCAAAAGCTCAAACAATAGATTAATTCTAGAAATTGAATGTTGGATTAATTTACAAATGATTTTCTTATAATATCTTTGAAAATATTTATTTTCCGTAATATAACTAACTTTATTTTATATATTTTAGGCTCAAATTCAAATGATTCGAAGTATTATACAACAAACTGAAACTGCCGGATCGTCTAGTTAGTGGGAAAATATTTTATAATCTATTATTGCAAACAAATAAACATTCCATCTTTATTGATACTTTTCATGAGGTTATTGTAATTTTAATTTTTTCTTTATTGAAAATGTGATTGTTATAAAAAAAATATTTTTTCTCTTTTTTTGTTTAATGATATTATATACTAATCATTTGTTTTGAGCTGTTTTTGTACTAGTCGAATACATTTTTTTCGTAAATAAATCGTTCTTTTTTTATGTGTGTATTGATTTCAAGTTATTCGTTATTGTATTTCTTTTTATTATCGTCATATCATTCATATTTGTTTTCTTGTATGTCTGTTTTTACTTAATCACGAACATTATTAAATTTGACAATCTATTTTATTTATGATATAAATCATGTCCTGTATTGATTGAAAAATATGTCTTCTATGCTAGAAACGATACCCAATGTTGTTTATTGTGCTTGATGTTCCTTTTGAACTTGTTGATTGTGTCTGCGACGCTCTGTTGTTTGCATGAGATGATGTCTGTCACTAAAAATAAAACGTTTCCTTTTCTCTTTTCGACAGGTGTAGAAAGTTTTCATTTTTTCAACTTATTCTATCATATAAAATTTAAATTCTTAATTCTTTTGAACTTTATTAGTTGAGAGTTTGATAAAAAAAGACTTGAGAATGTACTAGAATTCCAGAAATGATGGATTATGATATAAAACCAAACTATGTGCATGCTGCATTTTGTTATAATTTAGAGAAAGAATTACGATTCATTTTATAAATACTCAAACTAATTATTATATTTCATTACAATATCATACGATAGTGTTCGTTCGTATGATAATCAAATTTATTGTTGATTTAGAAGAAAACAAGCAAAAATAGAAAGACATCATTTGTAAAAATTTTATATAAAAAACTATTGGAAGAAATTGGCTACTACAAGGCATCAGACACATGTTTATTAAACAGATGTGAAATATGGTGGTGGGAGTATAATGATCTCGGATGTTTTAATCGGAAAGGTATTTGGAAATCTGTTCGTTCGCGATCGTACGATGAACAAATACTATTATCATGATATATCATAACAAAATTTGTTACAATTAGAAAATAAAATGAAAACTGTGAAAACATTTCAACTTTATGCATGTCAATGATCCGAAATACATTTCAAGTCTGATTAAAGATTGGTTGATGGAAAAAAAGATTCAGACCTTGCCTTGGCCACCATATTCACCGGACATCATACCTATTGGATGGAGTCGAAAATCAAATAAAGAAACATTAACCAAAAAATAAATAGAACTTCAAGATCTTCTACTGCTGGAAGAGTAGAAAACATTAAATTATATGTACATAATATTGTTTACTAAACTGAAGAAACGTGAGATCTCGTTGTATCTTCCATCTTACAGTAGTATTTCCATCCCAGTGGTCTAGTAGTATGCCCAAGAGGATTCATTGCCTTACTGTTCTAAACTGCAGTGAACACATTCTTATTCTTTCTTGTGACTTTTTCTAGTTTATGTTTTCTCGCTGATGTGTTGATGGAACAAGCATTTTCGACCGATGATTATTTTCGCATAAGATGGTCTTATTATGTGTTAGATATTAATACAAGTAAAAAAAGTCGAATTCGAAAAAATGATTGATCGACGGCATAGATTGGGATTCATTTTAGAGTTCGCTCCGAAAAAAATGGGAATTTTCGTAAATTAATTAAGACGGTGCTCACACATGTGTTTTTTGTGTCGTGTTCTGTATTAGTTATTGACATGTTTACATAGTTATTTGTCGTTTATATATGAGAATTAGCTCAATCAAACATAGTTGAAATTTAAAAAGTAAAACGTTATTTTTTTCTATATTTCGGGTAACTGCCGTTTGAAATCCTTGTAGTTACCTGGTAGCTTGTAGAAAATTGTCAGTTAATAACGATTGGAGAAGAAAAATACTTAGGGCATTCCAAAAGTAGTGAGAGAGGCACTTTATTTTCTTATAGAAAGCTTCAAAAAAATTTTTTTTTCTATGAACAGATAGAGTGTCTTTCGCTCTACTTTTCTATGCTATTTGATCACTATTCAACTAATATCATAATAATAAAAGTGCGATAAGATCAGTTTCTTTCGCATATGTGCTGGTAGCATGAACATGAATGCTCGTGAGTATTTTTTGAATAACTTTTGATAGCAACAAGGTAGAGAACTGCGGTTTTCACCGTTCGAAAGAAGAAATGAAGACGCATCGAACCTTATATTACTGATTTTTCTAACCTGGTTTTTGCAAGGTTTTTATTTGACCTTTTAAAGGACAAACCTATCC